AGTTTAAATATTTTTAAAAGAAAAAAAAAAAAGAATGTCTAAATTAATTGAATACTAAGCATCTGTAAACTACATCCATGCTGGCATATAGAATGATATAGATGATGTATTGTAATATCAGTGAGTCGTAAAAACTTATTCAAGTTTGAAGTTTATTTTTGTGGACCTCACATCAGAGTCTACAATAATAATGTTCCATTATTAATATTTAAAAAATTCAAATGACAACTTATTGCAAATGTGAAATGATAATTTCAACTGGCTAATCAGTATCTTATACTATCGTAATGACTCTCAGGATTTTCATTGCTTAATATTGTGATTTTTAATGAGATGTATTAAGAGTGTATTTTTAATCAGATTTTCTTTCATACGAATTTTTTGGAGCATGATTGATGCTCATTGGGATTGATTGCATAGTTATGATCTTGCTTTTTTAAAGAGAATATAAATATATTTTTGAATATTCTGTGTAAGTTTTTGCTATAAAACATCTTTAGAATGAACTTTTTTTTTCAATATGTAGACTAAACTTCAGATATACTTTTAATATATTATGTATTAATAAGATTTATGTATTTCATTTAATGTCCACATGTTATTTATTAGTAAAAAGCATCTTAGGATCTCTGATTGAATCTTGAAAATCTTTATGGAAATGAAGAAAGAGAGTTCATTTTGCTTCAATATCATTGCACCGAAAAATAATTATAAAGCAATATTATTATATTAGAATTAATGAATTGATATTAATTTTATTATGAAATAACTATATATGTTCGTTTAGTATTCAAGCAGTATAAATCAGTCTTCATAATTTAAGCAATATAAAATCATCTGAGAGCCTTAACATATTTTTTCTTTTATTACAAATAAAAACATCTCATGTTTAGTTCATTACATATGTTATATTTTCATTGATATTAACATACCGTATAATTTTTATAAATAATTTTGTGTCCATTTTATTCTGTATAAAAGTTCAGATATGTTTCAGTTATTTAAATCAGCTCTGCTATATTTACAATATCACTCGAATCTTATTTTTATTTTCTGTTTGATAAATCGGTAGAACAGTATTTAGTATTTAAATATCCATCATTACGATGTAACATAGTACGTAATTATTCCTAAAATTCGAAATATTAGTTGTAAAAATTAATTTAACTTGACTTGAGTTTGAAATAAAACGCTGCGTACTACATAAATGAATCAGTCGGCTGCGTCTACCGAGGAACGATCGCCTTCGATTGTGACGTCACAAATCGGTGGAGCAGGCCTGTAGATATCTAGTTGGCCTTGCTACAGAGGCGCAAGTTGCTGACATAATGACTAAACCTTTATTTAAACCGAGACTGTTAATTCTTTGTGATAAGATGGGACTTTTGAGACTTTTTTCTTTTAATTTATTATTATTATTATTTTTTACAAGGGGAAGTATTAAAGCATGTTAATAATAATAATAATAATATAATATATAGTTTAGATAAGTTCTGGCAACAATGAGTGTTGCCGTCATCCGGAGATCGTGCTTCGCGATACTGTCGTTCAAAAAAATAGATATAGTTTGTAATTCCAATAAAAAGCATCGTATTTTTGCTCTACTATTTGTTTTCTCTCTATTTTTTAGAAATACCTTTTTAGGTTATGTATTTTTTAAGACATACTTTTTTAACTAAATATTAAATGTTACCATTTACAAATTATTAAATATTACACCTGATGTTTGCGAACTGAGTTCGCCTGAGTCGACTATATGCATGTTGTTATCCTAGATGCTGCTATGAGATGAACACTTAGCATTTTATAAAGCATTTTTTTATTTGCAAAAAATATATCCGAAAGCGCTACCTAAGCGTGTGATTTGTTTCTCTGGTGATTCTTGAATGTTTAAAAGTTAATTTTAAAAATGTCAGCAAAATGTTTAATTGCATTTTTTCCTGATACAACTATTTTCCATTCGAAAAATTAGGGGTGAGACTAAATTTCAACTTGGCAGGAAATTTTGATTGGTTGGCTTTGGTGACGTCATTTTGACGTATTTAAACTCCGCCTCTCATGTGGTTTACAATCAAAACTCATCATGCGCCATGTTTGGTCATGACCAAAGATGGGTTCTTCTCTTGCTTTACCAAGATATCCGTATAGCCAGGGCTTAAATTGCGTCGGAGCCCACCGGAGGCTGGCTCCGATACTTCTTAGTTTTAGGAAAAATTCATAATTTTAGCCGGAGCCCTAAATAAGAAGGCTTTAGCACTTCTTTTATGTAACTGAACAATAATTTCAGTAGAAATCTGGTCTTGGAAACTTTATTTTTAATAATAAAATTATATTAAAAATTGCTTATTAAATTCTAATTTATCACTTTGCATACTATTAAATTTTAATTATTTAATTACTTTAACCATTAATTTTTTTAATAATGAATTATTTAATTTTTTAATTGTTAATGATTTGATTAGTCATCTTATTCTCTTATTTATTCTTGTTCCTCTTTCCTGAAGGTCTTCTATAGGGCTCTGGTACTTCTAATTTTTGAAATTAAACCCTGCGTATAGCTGACCGTTTTGTTTTTCTAATATGCTTCCTTAGGGATTATGACAGCCATATACTGGTAAAAGGCCTTAGACCATTTACCAAAGCAAAGATCCGAAATGGTTTATATGGTAAATAAGAGAGTTCGTAAGGAAGGTTATATTGTAAGAAGTTCGTTTGGTATGAAAACTTCAGTTTTCATAAAGCAAATGGATTAAATGCAGATATTTTTTCCCCATGAGAGAAAAGTCCTAAAACTACTTCAACTGTTTTATTTTGTAAATGAAGATAAAATAGCGCCTGATATGTGTATGTACTAAAGAGGACTTTAATTATTTAGTGAAATAAATAAGGACAAAATACAAAATTTGATATTGTAGTTTAAAAATATGTTTTTATTTGATTAAAACACTCGAGAGCTAACTGCCTACAAGGAAGGATGGCTTCCTGGAGAACTTTCTAAGGGAAACTGGCTCATATACACATTACACATGAGGAAAAACACGAAAACGCCTATGCAACTACCCCCAAATCATGTTTAGAATAAAAATTAATTTGTTATTTATTATCATTTGCGATTATTAGTGGTAAATATGTATTGAAATCCATTTAGAGCAAGATCTGCAAAGAAATGAATGCGGAAGAATCTAAATTCTCAGAAGAGATATGCAATTATCTGATTATAATCAGTAGAATTTGCTTTGAGTTAATCCATATTATGTAACGTTATCAAGTGGCTAAAAGTATAAAACACTGGTAATTAATTCTCCTTTCCTTGATTTGTAGTAGTTGAATGAAATGATCATAAGATAATTTCATGACAAAGAAGCACTTAAAAGTCTATCATGCCTGAAATCTGCTTGAATGTTGAGTCATAAGGGTACAAGATCTCAAAATATATGTTAGAATGTGTCTGCGGTCAAAAAAGGGTTGGAGTAACTCCTATACATTTTGTGTTCATTAAATAATCTTGTACAAATGATTAGGTAAAGTTTTTTAAGTCTTTTGCCATTAGTTGATCCATTAGCATGCTAATATAGTCTAACTTCATGCTTATTTTTACCCTATGTATCAATGATTTCTTATTATATACAGATAATATTAAGTTTTGGTCATTATTCATACTGTCAATAAATCAATATGAAGAATACATTTGTGATTTAAATTGAAAACGATTAGTTCAGTGTTTACAGATTCATGTGATGTAATGAAAGTTTATAATAAAATTAAGAATATTCTATGGTTTATTTTCTTAACCCGCGAGCACACGCAATGGGTATGTCATACCCATGGGCATTTTTCTTTTTGTATATTTATCACTTATTCTTTCATAAAAGGACGAAACTTGGTGTAGCTGAGTTCAAGGCCACATACTTAAATGCGGGAAATTCCTAAGGTGACAGGTGCAACGGTTTTTTAGGAACAGCATTGTTTGGGCATCTCATACCCGCGCGTGTACTCATGTTTCTCAGTGAGTCACTTCGCACTTCTCGTTTTCAAGCTTTTTTTTTTTTTCAAGTATAGGTTTTTCTTGAGTTGTAAGCATGGCGCCGTATATTCCTTACGATGAAGAGATGAAAAGATTGAGAAATATTCTTAAAACAGTTTCTTCTGATGAGGATTCATTTAGTGAAGACGATGAAGATGTTGATGACGAAGAATATAATAGTCATCATGATTCATCCATAGAGAGTAGTGATTCAGATACAGAAACAGAAAAGGAAATTTTGCAATGTAGCAATGAGTTTTATGTTGGAAAAAATGGAGTAAAATGGAACAAAAATAAATTCCGGACTAATGTTAGAATTGGAGCCAAAAATATTATAACTAAACTCCCTAGAAATACGAAGTATTCTAAAGACGTCTCAACACCTTTAGATTCCTGGTCACTGCTTATCGATGAAGATATGTTAAAACATGTAGTCGACAATACAAATATTTATATTGATTGTACGTGGAAATTTCACTCATGAACGGGATGCGAAAGCAACAAATGAGTTGGAAATCAAAGCTTTAATTGGATTGCTGTATTTATGTGGAGTTTATAAATCATCCCATGTGAACGTAAGAGATTTGTGGGCAACAGGCAGAACGGGAATGGACATAGTTCGGGAATAAATGTCAATGAACCGATTCCTCTTTCTTTTACGATGCCTCCGTTTTGATGACATTAGAGATCGTCCCAGTAGAAGAGACGTTGATAAATTAGCTTCGATCAGAGAATTTTTTGGAAATTTTGTCACAAATTGCCAAAAGGCTTATACTTTAGGAGAGTATGTGATCATTGATGAGAAGTTGGAATCATTCAGAGGTCGTTGTTTTCCTTCAAACAAAATATGCCCAACAAGCCAGCAAAGTATGGCATAAAAATATTTGCTCTTGTAGACGCAAGGGTATTTTATACCTGGAGTATGGAAATTTATGCTGGTAAACAACCAGATGGGCCATTTCAAGTTGAAATTTGGTGCAAGCGAAGTTGTCAAACGTTTAATAAGGCCCTTATACAACTCTGGTCGAAATTTAACAGTTGATAATTGGTATATGGGATTTGAATTATCTCAAGATCTCCTAAAGAAGAAAATTACGATAGTAGGTACAATGCGTAAAAATGAGAGAGAAATCCCACCTGAGTTTCTGGCAGAGAAAAGAGAAGTATATTCTTCAATTTTCGGTTTTCAGAAAGAAGCAACACTTGTATCTTATGTGCCGAAAAAAAATAAGAGTGTGATCCTGTTATCCACAATGCATTCCGGCGATCAAATCGATGAATCTACTGGGGAATCTAAAAAGCCTGAAATCATTACATTATATAACATGACAAAAGGAGCAGTCGATGTTGTAGATGAGATGGCAGCTGCGTATTCTACAGCAAGAGTAGCACGTCGATGGCCTATGGTGATTTTCTTTTCAGTGTTAAACGTGGCTGCCATTAATGCAAGAATAATTCTACTATCAAAGAAGGAACCTACCAACGGAATACCATACCAGGCGTACTTTTCTCAAAGCCTTAGGGATGCAGTTAATAGAAAATGTTCAAAATGAACGACGACGAGCATCTGTAGTTCCTGATTCTAGACAAACACTGACCACCGATGAACATGTTAACAATGAACCACCCCCCAAAAAACCTAAAATTACAAGAGGTGTACAGAGTGCCCCAAGAAAAAAGATAGAAAGACTAGATACATTTGTGAAAATTGTAGCAAAAGTACGAGTATATGTATGGAACATATGACCTCATTTTGTAAACAATGTTCAAAATATTGTAAGTAAATAATTTTACCTCTCCTTATTCTTTCATATTTTGTCTAAAATGAAGTATTAACTTGGTTTTACATTTTAATTTCTTTTAAAAATCGATTAATTTTATTCGGCAAATTTTTAATTACAAACGTTTTATTCGGGTATGACATACCCGGCGCGTGTTCTAGTGTTCGTCGGATCGGTGCGTGTGCTCGCAGGTTAAATGAAACTTTGTTTTTCCTCTGGAAAAAAATCCAAATAGCTTTATGTAAGAATCATTAAAGAGATCTTCATCAATAACAATGTGTTAATTAATGAAAACTATATACTTGTGTCTATATCAATAATAATAAGGCCCTTATACAACTTTACAAACTCTTTCCTTTGAAATCTGTGTATAAGCCTTAGTAATCTCAAGGTGTGAGATTTATAATGTTGTAATATTCTGAAAAGTCGCTTGACTTTAATATGTATGCAAGTTTCATGAAAAATTAAAAGCTGTATAATTTGCATCCATACATAAAAGCAAGAGCTATGTATACATAAATTCTACAGTTTTACTGTGTGGAGCAAATCAACAAAAGCATTATCAAAGCATCACTATCAACAGTTTCATCACAAAACAACTACATTGCAGAGCATGTTTCCAAAGTATATCAATTTTTTAAAGTACTGATTCTACTGAAAATGTATTGTTTACAAGATAAATAAATAGCTCTTGCATGCTTCGCCACTTTATAAAATTTTTAAAGATTTTATTTTTATTTCTGTTATTGGTTGTCATATATCTGCATACTTTTGCAGCCCAATGATTTATTTACTGTATGAAATTTATTAATCAATTCTCTTGGAATAATTTAAGTTTTCACTATTCATAAATTGTTATTGTAATCACTAGCGATTCAAAAATGCTCGATAACAAAATACAGTAGCATTTTCAAAAACACTAAGATTTACACTTATATGAATTTAAGAATTTTAAAGCACTTATTATATTTTTGTGGCATTTTTAATCATTTATTTAAAGAAATACCAGCATACTCTGATTTGTCAGCAGATACTGAATTATGATTTTCCTTTGTAATAATCAAGTGCGATTGTTATTCCTATTATGTTCTCTATCTGTATATGATGTTACTATCTATATTTGACTGAATCTGTAACTGCATATTTCATGCTGAAACTTTTAGTTCTTTTGCACATATTGTTGTGATACGTCCTAATAAACACATTATATGTCGATGTTTTGTAAAATGATGTTGCTAACTGTACTGTATGTGTACCATCAACTGGAGAACTTTACACTAATAATTTAGTAGTGAAATACTGCGACAGAATATGCAGATCAAAAACTGATTAATAAATTACTTGTGTAACTAGCAAGGATGAAGTAGTGACAAGATTAAGAGCATTTTAAATTTATATACTGTTTTTAATTCATCATATTTTAATTTATAAACTATTTAGAGATTATTTTATATACAATATATTTACATGATGAGATATCAATATATATGATCAAAAGAATCATGAATTATAAGAGTTTCATTATTTCCAATGGCATCTATAGCAGCTTTCTTGTATGAAGTTGTTGCAATATTTTCAGTACTGCATGGACTTTTTCTTTTCTTTCTCGTAAAAAAGAAATTCTTTTGTTTCTCTGCTTTTTTATTTGTAGGTTCATAGTTCACCATTTTCAATTTCGGCTTTTCGTTCTTTAATTTTGTAATCACTTTATTCAGTGTGTTTTCAATATCTCCCAAAGTTATATTATTTACTGTTGTTGATGTTACAAGTTTTGATATGATACTCAGTTGATTTATAATATGGTGCTTGGTTCCTGATTTTTTTTAATTTTTGTGCTGATAGATCAAGAAAGAGGGTTTTACATCATTTGATTCTTTAGTTTTAGCTGACTGTTCTCTATTAAGTAATCTTGTCTTTAAAATTATTGCATGTATATGTTTACAGACACTTCCTTTAATCGTGGCATCTGTGCATGTGCATACAAATGCATCGTTACAAATTTTGCACCATTTACAAACAATGTTACAATTAATGCATTGTGTATGTATTTGAGTAACAGTATATTCAAGAGTAGGGTCACTTTCTGAAATCACATGCCAAGAAAACTCATTGATTTCTGTGATATTATTAGCTGGAAAATTTATTGCTCTGTTGTGTCGTAAATTTGTTTGGTTGATCTTTGATGTGTTTGGCCCTTTTGTTGTTTTGATAAATCTCTGGAACCATTTATCTTGCACCATATTAATAAGCTTCGCAATGCACCTATCAACCCTCTTGTTTTTCAATCCATCAAGATAAGAATATTTTAAAACTCGATGCAGTGCTTCAAGATGATTGTTAGTTGTTGTGATGTTACATCTTTTTCTATAACATTTAGCCCACAACTCGCATCTGTTTGCATAATTTGAAGCAAAATAATTAGCAAACTTGTCTGTATCTCTATCAGCAAAGAGTTTGCTGAGGAAATCAGATATCAGTGCTTCAAATTCTTTTATATCATGACATTCAGATACTACATTTAAAAATTTCAAAACTTCCTTTCGCTTTGAGGGGATAATTGAATTTGCTGCTTGCAGCCATGCCTTTTTAACGTGCCAGGTGCATAGAATCCTAAATTTGGCATCACACATTACTGATGTCCATGCAGTATAATATACTGGTGCATCATCACTCATAAAGCAGTTTACAGACAGCAGTCCAACTTTGTCCCTAATACACTGAAAAAATTTTTGCATTGAACCTAAATTTACTCTATTGCTTAGGCAAAAAGCAGCAGGAAATCCTGAATTAAACTCGTCTATGACTAAAACTGTCGATAATTGAAAATCGTAAGCATTAGTCCCATGTGTGCTATCGATGCATATGCTATCGGATCCAAACTTTAAAAGCATATGCTTTTGAACATTTGTCATTATGATGATGCAGAAGTCACTAATTTCCAAGTGCTGATCTGCTGCTTCTCCTTGGAATTTTACAAAAAGAACTGGAATTATCATCTAAACATTTCATTTTTTTTTTCTATCCAGATCCTTAAACTGACAGCATCAGTTGGATGATATTGTTCATCATTACCAATACAGTAAGAATTAGAAATGTTATGTATGTCTTTTTTTGTCAATAAATGCTCCCTGTAAATGTCTTCTTTAATACTATTCCTTGTGGAATCTAATATTTTCTGTGGTGGAATGCCTTCATTTAACTTACCTGAAAATATTGCATTTATATGATAATGTTGTATAATAATGTCTGTTTTATATTGAATTTCACAATCAAGTTCATAAAGAAACTTACCTGCAATCACTTCTCGCAAATCTTTTGTTAACGGCAAATGTTCTAGATCTACTGTGTGTCCCACGTGTGTTTGGAAATATAAAATCTTAATAATGCCATTACTGGTAACTTCAATAGTAGATGGACAGTGCCCCTCTATTTTGCAGGTACCTTGTGATTTTATAGCTCTTACACCTTTACTTTTAGAATTATAAAATCCAGATCAATTACAAAGGAAGTAACTCTTTTTCCCACCTTCTTTAAGAGTTATTGTACTTCTCAAAAAGTAAGAAATTTTTTCCCTTCGTTCTTCCTCACTTTTCCATTGTAAGAAATCTAAATTTGAAGGGTAAACATTAGCCTACATACAATATAAAAGCCCATTATAATTGTGAACTAGTTAATCTTTAAAACAAAATTACTAATTTAAAACTAACCAAAATCTTATTTTGGCACTGATTGTAAATAGATACTGGTCACTTTAGCAGAATTTTTTTCTCTTCAAGAAGAGGGACCTGTGTCTAATTGCTCTCAAAACTGATAGTTTTATTTAAAATCTACACTGAAATAAAGTTGCCTAATTTTAAGTCAGGGGCGTAGCTAGAGGAGGGCATCTGTCCCCGGGCGCAGATTCGAAGGGGCACCAAACTGATGTTACGACATTTTAGAATTAAATGTTTTCCATCCTTGGCAAGCAGTAGAGGGTGCGAAACCTTCAGTTGTCCCTGGGCGCTGAAAACCCTAGCTACGACTCTATTTTAAGTTGTACATTGGCATATTTTTTCTTCCTATTTGACAGTTACTAGTACTACTCATGTTCCAGCTAAACTAGACTTAAAACATATTCCCCAAAGTTGTATAATAATGCAAGAAATTTATTCTTAAGAGACAAATTGTCATCAGACATTTTCCATAAGCATGAGTGTCATCTGGCCTATGTCTAAAGTAAAAAAACATTGTAGCCTGTTTCTTGATAACTGATACAATGTGTATAGGTTATTAAAATTTTAAGACATTGAATAAATTTCTTTAAGTAGTTTTAAAATAACATATAATAAATTTTAAGCCTCATTTACATATAATAAAATAAGTGTCTATCATTATGATACTAAACTTACGATTGAAGGTTGCCACTTTAATAAAGATTTTAACAATTTTTTTATTAGGTCCACATTATTTTTGATATCTTCATCATACATATGCATTAAGAGATCCGTTTGTGTAATAACAGGATAGTCTTTTTTTTTTAATGAAGCACTGAATTACATGTATAAATAATTATGTAGCAGTACATCTCTATATATGTTTTTATTATTTAGAAAATGTTTACTTCATATTTCAAATAGTTGAGGAAGAGAAATATTACTTAATCTTAATATTATTAATAATAATTATTATTTGAAATATTTTTACTGAAGAATAATGGGGGTTTATCAGGCTAACAGAAAAAAGCAAGATGCTAAGGAAATTATTCTGTTATCAATTATACTCACAAAAATAGATGTATTTTATTCCCCAACTTGATGAATGAATTTGCAAAAATAGTAATTTGTACTCAGTTTGGGGCTAATTCAAATTAAAAACGTTTATCGCAGAAAATGCAAATTTCTAATATCTTACCTTCATATGTATTAAATGTCATTTCAACGGAGTTAAGAGTGTATCCATGTTGATCTCTTGCGTGATTTCTTAACTCTTCAAACGTTCTACATGAAAAATTGCAGGCATTAATAGGACATTTCAAATTTCCTTCAGCCACAACAGGTACTTTATTTATGTACTTCCCGAATGTGTTCATATAAAACCTTTTTCTTTTTGTACTTTTTGCAGCAGTACATACATTCAAATACTGCTATCTTTTCATATTCCATTGTTATAACAAAAAGTTATGTACTACAATAGAAAATAAAAAACTTATTTTGTCATCAGAAATATTAAAAAATGAATAAAAACTGTAGCATATATTAAAATATTTAATGTTTGACACAAAAAAATGGTAGCATATGATATTAAAATATTTAATGTTTGACACAAAAAATGGTAGCATATGATATTAAAATATTTAATGTTTGACACAAAAAATGGTATAAAATATTTAATGTTTGACTGAAACTAACACGGTTTGCTATTCTGAAACATTTTTCATTTTCCTTTGTTCAACAAAGGAAATTTCCGCTAAATTTATCTGTTCTCAAAAGGCAATATATGAAAAATAAATAGATTACAAAAAGTTTGTCTCAAAAATAAATACTTTACAATAATTTGTAATCACGTGTTTAATTACAAGCAAACAATATCTAAATTACCAATTAAAATATTTTATCAAAAAATTCTTTTAGCTCGCCAAAAAATATCACTGCAGAGCTCAGAAAACAAGCAACCGAAAATGGCAGGTAATCCTGTGGGGTAAATCTAAAACACCCGCTTTTGACGTCACATGTGACATGTACCGTTGACCAATCAAATTTTCCTGCCGAGTTGAAATATAGTCGCTCCCATAGGAGTAAAGTATAATTTTCGCCCGGCAGTAAGACCATAAGGGGGGAGGGTGTAGAAGGGCGGAAGCGGTAAGGGTGTAATTAGACTCGTTAAGATTTTTTTTGCAAATAGCTAAAATCGAAAAGAACTCTCGCATGAAAGAAACATTCATAGTGTAATGGATAATAGCAATTTGTATAGTTTACTGACATTTACGCAAAAATCACATCTTGGTTATTTTTCGATAACTAACAACAGCGATGTTGATTATGAATTTGTTTTATAAAATTCTAAGCTGTTGCATTACAAAAATATGGATTTTAAGAAAATTGCTAAAAGAGATCTGCCAAAATTTATTTTCTAGAAGATTTGAAAAGTTTGAAACTTGATGGCTAAATGTAAATATAAAATTATGTATGTTAAAATATTTGTAATTAGGCATATAGGTCAGATTAAGTTTTTATTTAAATAGAGTAACGCATGCAAGGGCTATCTGCCTAAAGAGAGAGATGCCATCGTGGAGGAATTTTGAAGAAAAACTGACCTTTGAGTGGGTATTAAAAATAATACTTATAATTTTCATTCAAATTATATTCATATATATTTTTTATGTAAAACTTTCGGGTGTGTGCTAAATTAGTGTAAATTACTTTACGCGAAAAATATAGTGAATACACAGAAATTATAAAGATTTGCACATGCCGGAAATGATAAATAGGAAATATGTATGGGTATTTATGCACGTGCTTGCAAAAAGCATGTATCTGCCTTTGACAAAATACTTAAATATTCATTAAATTATTTTATAATGTATTTGAAATGAAGAATTTATTCACTTATAAACAACTGTGAAAGTATCGTGAAGAAATCTAATGATTAAATGTATCTAATTTATAATGATTATAAATGTTATCTAATGTATAATAACCTTATATTGAATTGTAAACATAAATTGAAATCCTGTTGACAAATACGTTATAAAAACTATTTAAGCAAGAATTGTTCGTATTGGAAAGCAATCTGTTAAAAGGTATTGTAAAGCAAATGCTATAAGATGCGCACTTGAGAACGTAATAAAGAGTTTTGGAATATGTATTGTTGAAATGAAGGATAAAAAAAAAAAAAAATCTGATAAGTATAATTAAAAGAATTATTCACTTTACATTTTACAATAACTCAGTTACAAGTTTTAAATAATACTTAAAAAAAAACTTATTTTATTCCCTTTCAGAAATGTTCAGAGAAAGTCAAATACTATTTAATTCCTAATAATTCTCTAATTTAAAATGAACCGAATAGAGCATTAATTATAAATTGACTTACATTTTTCGATTTAAAAGAAGCCAAAAAATCATGTCATATTTAAGAAAGTATTTTAGGAAGAAGCTCTATAAATAGAAAAGAAATAATGCATAATTTTAATATTAATAATACAATAAACTTTGAGCTTAATTGTTGTACCTTAACCGAATAAAACCGAATTACCTTAATTTTTTTTCTAATGTAATTAACGAAAACTTGTTGAAAATATTTCATTCAAATTAACCATTCTGAGAAAAACTGTCCTGTGAAAAGTATAGCATTAATTCCGTTCAGAATGAACTGTTGTTTAAAAATATGTTGTTTTCACATACTTAGGGACTCTTAAGTGTTGTAGAAAAGAAAATATATACATTTATATGTATATTTGCGACGTAATTACAAAATATTTACACCCGAACGCGTCAAATCCCATAGAACTCAATGGTAAATGACCCAATGTTTTGGTCACCACGTAGGGATCGCCGGTGCTTCAGAGCAGGGTACGGAGAAACTTGTTTAGGGCGACTCCTTCTTACTTCCTACCTCCATGCACGCAGGAGTAGGGAAGGAGAGTGTGGAAGAGTAACTGTAGGGCAACTCCTCTTGAACTAGAATGCTTCACTACAGATGATATAAACATACAATATATTTGAAGTCCGAGAAACTTTTGCACAATTTAGAAAAGGAATTGTTGACACAACTAATCTTACATAATATATTAAATGAAATTATCAACTTTTTCTGTTAGAAAACTAAGCTAAGTGAATATAGTATCACTATCACAACTTCATAAGTATTTCAAGCGAAAAATTGGTAGCTGCATGCTCGCGATCTTCGAGTATGAGCGATTGTGAGTGCTTGGACGAAATCCCTTTTCCCTCTCTCATTCCGGAACCGGGCTATGAGCAAAAATGAGGTTTGTGGTCTAGACGCTTGGTAATCTTTA